CATAGAAACTACACACAAAAATAAAAACTTATTTAGATTTTTACAAACGATACTTCAAATTCTTATTAAGCCCTCAATGAAGAAGTTGTAATATTCAGCACGTAGCATAAACTTTTCCTTATTCACATTTCTGCTAATCAGCATTTGCATAATTCCTTTTACATGATTTCATAGCATAAAAAGAGAGTCAGATCCCACAAAAGATTATGTAGTTTGATCCAACATTTAGAAAGCTGTTCCGTTTTATAAAATGCCTGATTACTTATGTAAGCCACTTTGTGTTATTGTAAGTTAGAACGTAGTCTGCATTTTAAGAAACGTGTCGATGTTACTACTGCTTAAACATCCGTGGTCTAACGATTTAAAACTACAGTCGATTTCGAATTGTCTACGAGAAAAGAAAAGTTTTCGGCAAGCGATCATTACGAACGACTGTACGTTTCGGAAAAATTATATCAAAATAGCCACCGTTAGATCTTATAACTTTGTTGTGACATCTATATTTTTTTAATTTTCCTTTTAAGTTCACACTAGAATATATACACATATACGTAAATATATGTATATATATTATAGATCAATTGTTTCTCTAGACTAGAATCAACCACGTACTAACATTACTTCCTAATACACGTAGATGCGTACAAGGTCTTTTTTTATTATTCCGGTTCTCCCCTGCGCTTCTTTCGACCTAAAGCTGAACGAAACTCTAACGTATAAAACACTGCAAATTATTTGTATGTACAACAACAACAATCGCAGTCGCTCGCAGAGGTATCCACGCTCCATGACTTAGTTAAAAACAATTACAGTGAAATCCAGGAATATTTGTACACATTTCGAAGTTGAATAACTTCTTTAATGCTAGACGTAACAATTTAATTCGTGTTCAAGTATTTACAGAGATTAATTTACTATCTAATATATAACAAAAAATATTTTAAAATTTTTATAAGTTAGATTTATGTAGAAAAAAGTAAAGGGCAGAATTTTTAAGTTTCTCATTCGATTCTAATAATAATTTAAAACATACTTTTTGTAGAGCTAAGAATGTTATATGCAGGTATAAAAATTCATCTGTGGGGGTCAGAAATAGATTTACAGAATTCTTCATCGATGAATTAATAAACGCAATTGTTAATAAATTTATATCTGATAGATTTGAACCTTTCCCCAGGTATTCCAGATGTTCTTAAGTTTTAAACGAATGTAAGAAAGAGAACAGAGGCTAGTCTCTTAGATAGTACTGAGCACGAGCCAGATTATAGTAGATACTCCTTCGTGTTTTGAATGTATCTGCAATTGTGTGCTTGCATGAAGCATTTCGTCTGAATTTTTTAACGCTATTGACATTACCATGATTAAATACTGATGAAATGGTTTTGACGATTTTCTGCCTAAAACTTAAGGGAGTTCTATCAATAATAGAATTAATAATGAGATTTTGATTAAATTTGGTATACTTCTGGTTTTTGAAAAGATGTTAAGTTTTTAAAGACTGAGAGTACTCAAGAAAACTTAAAAATATTATTTTTAAATATTTTATATTGCAGTTTATGAGAGAGTTCGCTGCTGTAATTCATTTATTTTGACCCTCATTTGAAAAATGATTTTCAATAGATATTTGACTTTTATTAAAAGAATTTCTATCAGTATCTAATTAAGTACTTCACCCTGTATGAATTTTTCTCATAAAACGCAATGTAAAACATGTAAGAATGAAACCTTTAATAACTGCTTTCTTAGGTACTTTAAGAATTTAACCGTCTTTTTAAAAGCTTTAGCTAGTGTACCAAATTCTATCAAAACTCAATTGTTAATTCTATTCTATAACTCCGAATACATCTTTCCACACATTCAACTTTTTCACTTCTTGACCGATTTTAATAAAACTCTGCGTTCATATAAAATCCTTAAATCTATAAAAAGCATATTCTGAATTTTTATTTGAAATCGATAATCGAAGTTCAAATAAAAAAAACATAAGAATTGCCTTTACTTTTTTCTTCTTAAATTCTACAGGAATTTTAAAAATTTTTTCTTACATAACACGTAATAAAATTATTTCTCTAAACGCCTAGACAAGAATTGATTCGTTAAAGTTTAGCAAAAAAGTACTTCAACTTTGAAATATGTACGAAAGTTCAGAGACTTCAATGCGTGTCTCAAAACGTAAAACGAAGTTCTTTCGAAACATCAGCCGGTAAAATATCTACGTACATAAATAAAATATAGAATGCGACGGATGGATTGCCCTTGCGAGGGACCGCTTAAACATTTGCCTCACTTTGTACAATATAAATTCCTGTGAACCGTTGCACTCTTATACAACACGTTTTAGATCTTCCACTTAGCGTATCGCTGATACTTTGGCTCGAGAAGCATTTTCAGTTGTTCGAATTCGTCGAGTTCATCGTCAAAATTAATATCATTCTCTTCGATATATCTTCGCCTTTCCTCGTTATCCACGCTCTCCCCTTCAACAAATTGCAATTCACCATCGTCCTCTTCCTCTCCCTCCTCTTCATCCATATTTTTACTTTGTGCTACAAAAACCGTGTGAAACATTCTTACAAAGTAATTAAACAATTTCCTGTTATACAGCCTAGTTTTCGTTTCCTACTCTATTCAAAATGATTGCAGTAGATCCGAATCTCTACGTTTGCATGTTAGACGTGAGATGAAGTTATCAAGAAAACTGTTACGAATTTATATTAGCTATAGGAAGTATAATATGAAGCGAATGTATTTCTTTTTTAACAAGGATAATTAATATGACATGTGTCATTAGTCGAACAAGAGTTATTGCAAGCGAGACATAAGATAATGTTGAAATCAGCATAAATAAAAGTAGAAGCTTCGTTCCGAATCAACGTGTTCCGTCTCAATTCAACAGCGCATCGAACACGATGCAATGAATAATAATAATAATTATTATAATAATAATAATAAGCAGCGTGAAATCGCCTTAAAGCGTGAAACGATGATTAACAGTCGCCGTGATATACCTCGCAATCCACCGAAAACAAATTTAAATGTACATTATAAATCCTTCTGTGATCACCGATACTCGCAACTTGTTTAAGCTCCACTCACCTGGTTGCACGGATTACCGGCGAAGTTTCAGCGATATTCGCACTCGGATCGGACGCGACGGTCAGCGAAACGGAATCGGCGACGATCGTGTTCGCAGCTGCCGTCGAGGTGCAGACGATCGCGTTCAAACATTGACAAGCGTCGGCCTCCTCGTCCGAATTCGTGCACTGCGAGCGTTGAGCAAAGTTACCGAGCGCACGAGGGGCCTCGTTCTTTATCGAATGTACAGGTACTGAAACGACCCCGCGGGAATCACCGCTCTCCTCTAACTCTGTCACATCGTCCGACTGAGGTATCTGAGAAAGATCGCAGAACAGAGTCCTCACTTTGGCGTTGTTCGGCCAGCAACCGCTAATCGAGATTCTCTTCACCGGAGTCCCGTTGATAGAAATCCGCGACACGCGATTGATAAAATTGCTGAGCAACAGCTTGTTCATGTCGCCGATTCTCGGCAGAGGCAACACGACGCTTACGTTGCTACCCCTTCTGTCTTTTGTAACGCACGCCACGTTAGATATCTCTGCTTCGCTTCGACTATTTACAACGTCGTTTCTATTTACACGTGGCGAATCCTCCGCCTGTAAATCGTCCATATAAACATCTTTATCACCGCCGGTACTACACGTTCTGGTAACTTGGCTATTTAAACGATCCGGGCCGACGTAACAATCGGTAGATCTCTTATTTACACGTTTCCTCTCGCTGCATGCGAAACACGCCGCGTTCCGACACGCGCCTCTTCCTCCTGTATTATTTACAGTAAAAGCAGAATCGTCCTCCTTTGTACTTAAGTTTAATATTAAATTGTGCATCCTCGAGTCGTCGCCGTACGCTATACTACACGACAACGAGTTGCTATCACTAGTAAAGTTAATACTGTCTGTTGAACCTTGAACGTGATCAGGATCCGCCGTATCCCTCTGTACATCGTTTCTAGCTGCTCTGTAGGCAGAGTATTCAGGTATACCTAGCAGTTTAGGTACAGGTACGATCGTGTTACTATTCGGGACGTGCGTCAATAAGTTATCGTTTACTAGCTTCGAACAGGTGTCGATTATGTTCGAGACAATACAGTTGGCGGCCAACACCACGTCCTTGTTAGTAACACCAGCAGGAAGTTTTGATTTCATGCCCTCGGGCAATCGCTTGTCCAAAGCTGGAACGTCGAAGCTCTCTTCGATGTTCTTCTCCTCGGTACGCTCTCTCTCTTTCCCTTCATCGTTGTCCTTCTCGAGGGAAGGGCTCGTCTCTTTGATGCAAGGTTTCTCGTCGCTGCCGGGAGCGCTCAACTGCTGCCCCTCGACCCTGAACGACGGTATTATATTCGCCAAACTCTGCAAGCTTGGCAGCTGCGAGACGTTGAAGAACTTCGACTTCTTCTCCTCGGTCTCGCGGCTATAAATCCGGTCCCTCTTGTCTTTTATATAATAATGGAATTTGTCGCCGAGCGTCATCATGCTATTTATGCTACCCTGCAATGTGCTCTTGCTCTTCAATTGGTTGATCGACACGGAATCGGAGAAGAAGCAGCTAGAATGCTGGAACAGCGATAGCAACTTCCCCAGATTCGAACTGCTCTTCTGAATCGGGTCGTGTTTCACTTGCGACTCGACCTCGTCGCTTGTTACTTTCTTAACTGCGTCCACCTCCGTGTTTTCATCCACGGTTTTAATATCCGTCGTCGTCGTAGTCGTCGTCGTCGTCGCGACGATCTGACTCTCTTCCGCGGTAACGGAGGTCGCGTCCTCGTCGGACCGAACCGCGACGGACTCTTTCACGCGGTCGGTCGCCGTATTCGGAGGAGCGGACATGTCCGAAATTAGACGCTGATTCTCGTTAGTCTTTGTCGATTCGTCGGATACGTCGTCGTTGTCGTCGTCGTCGGCTTTTATTTTCGTATTTAGATCGATATCGGCCTCGGTGGTCGTGATTTTAGGTAACGATACGGTATTTGCTGATTCAACAACTGAAACACGAAATCTAGATGACCCACTTGCGGACGTGACACAGGCAGGTGATGATAGAACAACTGATGACGAAGTAGTAGAAGATGTCGAGGAGCAGTCTGTCGGGCGCAACGTTTCCGGCACGCGGGACACCACGAACCGGCTTCGCGAGGGGCTTAGTATCGGACTGGCTACGGGTGATGATGCGGGACTGGGGGCTGGTGAACGAAGGCGACCCCCGTTGACACGTTTCGGTTCGAGCATAGATCTCTCATCTTTCCCCGACGAGATCATGGATGATGGAGAGCATGGCAGTGTTTGACATGTGAGCGAGATTTTACGGGAGGTTGTACTACAGAATCGGCTATGATAGGAATTATCGAAACCTTCGTTAGTCTCTTCTAACGCGCGATTTTGCTCGTTTTCCAAACAACTGCTCCGTATTTCGGCTAGTAGCTGCGTGTACTTTGGCAAGATCTCGGTCCAACGGTCCTACGTTAAACAGATAGCACGTGAGAGTAAATCAAAACACAAACGATTACAGTAGAACCTCTGTTGTATGAACATCCATTATGTAATTATGTTATCTATCACTTGAACGTTCTATTATTTGAATACTGTGTTTCTTATTATAATAATGTCTGTGAATATACTAGCTGTTTTTATATTTGTATATTTATTTGGCTGAGGCAAAACTTATAATCATTTGGTATCATATCAGAATAATATATTTGGAACATTATATGAAGGAATGAAAAATGAATTATTAGCATTTTTCATAAATGAATAAAGATAATCGAAATTAGATCATGTTTGGTGCCATTTTAATCAACAGAATTTCAGGAATATGATGAAAGAGAGAAAGGTTGTGTAGAGAATAGATGCTCGATATTTTTTTCATAAGACGGGTTTTCTCCCAGAAATATTTCTCAAGATTCTGGACCATTTAAATCTTTCCATTCATAATTTATATCAGATAAAAATTCATGAGGTTCGCAAATTTTCATGACAATATAAGATAAATGTGACCCTTCGTTCTCGGCAATTTCACATTTATCGAAATAACACTATACAGGGTGTTCGGTAACTGATGGTATATCCGAAAAGGGGGAGATTTTACATGAAAGCATAGAGAAGTAGAAAATATAGAATAAAATTTCTTTCATGTGTAACTTTGTTTTCAAGAAAATCGACTTTGAATTGTGTATTCTGAAGAAATCACAAGTTTCGAATTAAAAGAAAAGATTATTGTAGCCTTTCATACATTAAAACCACAGAATACGTTCGAAAGCGTTCATAGAAATTTAATTAGAAGAGCAGAATTATGTATCCCGCAGAATAGGCAACATTCTCAGCAATTTCTGTAATAATAAACTTTATGATTACTTCAACATCCTATTTCATTGCATTTTCCTAATTTTTCGGTATGATAAAAATAAACTTAAACTGCGATAATGATCCATCGAGACAATCTACAGTGAGATCCGTTATAAAGAGACATGATTAAGTGCACGCGTACCCGGCGAGAATTTTTATTCTGTATTTTCGACTTATTTTTTCATATACAATCGCCTCCTTTTCACTTGTACCACCAATTATCGAACAGCCTGTATATAAGAAATAATGTATGAACAAATTATGTTCGTTTTATTTAATTTTGTTTTAAACATACGTACAATTCTGGTGTTGCTTGTTGTTCTGCTATTTTAAATCGGATTAGTTCATACAATGGAAGTTCTACTGCATTATTATATTACTACTTACTATTTTCGCATCAGGCCTCTCGTCCAAATCTATTTTAGTAATACTTCGATTTTTTTTCATCGCTAAACTGAGCGCCTCCAATCCGAACAGCCGTACGTCATTATTTCGCAAATCTATCCTCTGAAAGTAACAAAATACGATGCGAAACGTCCTCGCTTATTTAACCGATCTATCATTTCGATATCTACTTGCAAAACTTGATTCGTCTCGATGATGTCGGACAGCGTGATGACTCCGTCGCAAGTTAAATCCGTCGACTGCATTCCCAATTGTAACAACACACGGTTCTTCTTCAACGCGTCTTTAATAGCAACTAACGTATCGTCAGTCAACAGATTTTTCCCAATGTTCAATGTCTCTAAAGTTTTACACAGTCCCTGTGTACATAAATACAAACATGTAAATAC